TTCTTCCTCGCACAACTTCCTTGTGGAATAGTTTACCACCAGCGATTTTTCCGGACCGATACGACTTAGGGACCTTCAAGAAAAGAGCCTACTCCTTTTTAAAAGGCCGGCAACGCATCTGCAATTCCCCTGGTGTTGCGGTTGTTCATGGGCGGCGGTAGTCACTTACCATCAGGTGAGCCGCATGCTCGTTTGCCCCCTCTCCTATAAAAAAAAAAAAAAAAAAAAAAAAGATACGACGAAAGTGTTCTTTTTAGCAGTAACGCGCAAACTTGTGAATTTGTATAATGTTTAACGACTTTTAAGTTCAGTGCTTTTCTAAAATATGTTAAAGGCTTAAAGTGTATTTTTATAAAAGAAAGGAATTTGAAAAACATGTCGACGCTCTCTTATTAGATTTGACGTTTCGTGATGTGCCTTCGACGTCAACCGACCAATCATATGCTATTATTACAGCATCTAATGGACCTAGTGACGACATCCAAGATGCTACCAATGTTTGAATTGATTCTTAGTTATTAGAAATTAAATATTTTATATATAGCATAATGTCATATGGTATTTTGCTATGGGGACACGCAGCTGACACTGAAATTATATTTGTTTTACAGAAGAGAGCCATAAGAGCAATTTATGATTTAAAGCCTAAAGGGTCGCTGCGCCAAAAATTTAAGGAAATTAATATATTAACTTTGGCCTCTCAATATGAAAATGTAATGTACGTACACAAAAATAAAAGCAGTTTTACAAAAATAAGTGATATTCATTCTGTAAATACTAGGAACAGATACAAGCTAGTAGTACCAGTTACTCGACTCCATCGAGTCAGTAATTCATTCTTGGGGCGATGTATACGCTTTTACAACAAAATTCCCGAAAATATACAAAGTTTGACCTGCTCAAAGTTCAAAAACTTTATTAAACTAAGTTTGTATAAAAAGGGTTATTATAATATTAAAGAGTTTATGGATGATAATAACCCCTGGAAATGAGGTGATCGCTACCAAGCTATTTCTAATTTGTTGTGTTGTTAATTTGTGTAACATCATGATTGTAAGCTGTTATTTAAAAAAAAAGTCCCGCTGGGTTTCTTGCTGGTTCTTCCCAGGACAGAGGTTTTTTCCGAACCAGTGGTAATCAAACAAAAGAGTGACTTTCAATAAGTATTATTTATAATCTATATTGAATAAAAAAGTTTCTGTTCTGTTCTGTTCTGTTCTGTTCTATATCATGACATTTCATTTCATTCATGACATTACTCATGACTTAAAAAGCTTATATGATTTTTTTGGTGTGATGGGAGTCAAAATAAATAGATTTATACAATAAAAAACATACATATTCCCTATTATTATATCGTAAAGTATTACAAACTTAGTAACCTTCAACAACATTATCGATATTTTAATGTCGAAACTGTAAATTTCCTAAAACGGATTTTTACCTTACATTTATTAGCGTCACCTACTGGAGAATAGCTGAAATGTTAGAGGGCGTCACATACGCGCGAGCTCAAAATTTCTGTATGCAAATGTCCGCTCTATACGAATAGTATATCTATATATTTGAATCTGTTTGTTTTTACTAAATGCATATGAATTCAGTACTTATGAGTATAACAAAAAAATTAAAACTTTTGTCTGTCTGCCTGTTTGTTCCAGCTAATCTCCGAAATGGCTGGATCGATTTTGACGAGACTGTCACTAGCTGATAGCAACATCATTTATTAGGAGTAACTTAGACTACATTTATTTTAGAAAAATATTATTTAATACATTAACACTCATGAAATTGTGAACAAAATCCGATTCAAATAGGGATGCATAATAATATAAAAAATATTCTATGCGAACGAAGTCGCGGGTACAACTAGTATGAAATAAACGCTTTCTTGCCTAAAACGTAGTGATTATATACTCTTTGTTACTTACTCTGAGACAATGACAGTATGGACTACACTATTGTACCTAAGTTCTATCATCATCATCATCATCATTACAGCCTTTCACAAGTCCACTGCTGAACATAGGCCGCTCCCAAGGAATGCCACAAAGCACGGTCCTGAGCCACATGCATCCATCGACTTGCATATCTTACCGGGTCGTCACTACATCTAGTGGGCGGACGCCCTACACTTCGTCTGCCGGTACGAGTCCGCCACTCGAGAACCTTTTTTCCCCATCGGCTATCAGTTCTTCGAGCTATATGGTCGGCCCAATGCCACTTCAGCTTACTAATCCGTTGGGCTATGTCGGTCACTCTGGTTCTACTGCGGATATCCTCATTTCTAAGTTTATCACGCAGAGAAACTCCGAGCATAGCCCTCTCCATAGCTCGCTGAGCGACCTTGAGCTTCCTCATCCGGGCAGTAGCGAAGGACTACGTCTCAGTACCATAGGTCTACACTGGCAACACGCACTGGTTGTACAGTCTCGTTTTCAAGTTTTGAGGTATACCTGACGAGAAGATGTGCCGTAATTTCCCGAACGTTGCCCAACCGAGTTGAATCCGTCGATTGACCTATCGGTCGAAGTTGGACTTACCTAGTCGGACTATTTGTCCCAGGTAAACATACTCGTCAACAACTTCGAGCTTATTGCTCCCAACAACTACCGGCATAGGAGTGACATGGACATTAAACATGATCTTTGTTTTGTCCATGTTCATCTTAAGACCTATCTGTTGGGAAACACTATTGAGATCATTGAGCATAGTGCTTAGGTCCTCCAGCGATTCTGCCATAAGAACTATATAGTCGGTAAATCGAATGTGAGTGTTATACTCGCCATTGATGTTAATACCGTATCCTTTCCAGTCCAGTAGCTTGAAAACGTCTTCCAATGCAGCGGTGAAGAGTTTCGGGGATATAACGTCACTCTGTCTTTCACCTCTCTGCAGTTGGTTAGGTTTCGTACTCTGATTCTGTATTCGGATAGCCATCGTAGCCCTACTGTACAAACACTTCAGCAGTCCGATATACCGACAGTCAATTTGGCACCGCTGAAGGGACTTTAGCACCGCCCAAATTTCGACGGAATCAAAGGCTTTCTCATGGTCCACATACGCAAGGCAAAGTGGCAGAATTTACTTTTCTGTCTTCTGTACAATTTGCCGAAGGGTGTGTATGTGGTCTATGGTAATAAAGCCTTTTCGGAAACCGGCTTGTTCGGGAGGCTGGAAGTCGTCGAGTCTGCTTGCGAGATGATTCGTAATGACTCTCGAAATCAGCGAAGCAGCTACTTTAGCAAATAAATTATTATGAATTATGATGATAATATTTATGAAAGTCAACAAACGAAATAATTTGTCCAAGCAACACTTATGTGTTTGACATTGACGGTAATATGAACGTAAACAATGTATGTTTTTTTAAATTTCTTTAAATTAATTTGTAACACATATTTAAAATAAATTTTAGCTTGTAAACTTTAACCATACCAAATCTCAAATACCTCGTGCGTGTGCGTGCGTGTGTGTGTGCACGCGCAATATGCTTGCAAAGGGGTACTTACAAAATTTTTCCTTCCCGTATTAATTGAAGTATAATGTAGCATATACTCGTAGTACATATTACTTCAATGGATTATAAATATTAAAAAAAATATATAAATATGTTATGTATCAAAACGTATACTGTTAGATTATTATCATTGATGTAAGAAACAATACTAAGATCCATTTATTTTATGAAACTGGCCAAGTGCGAGTCAGACTCGCGCAAGAAGGGTTCCGTACCATCGTAAAACACGATTCTAGTAGGGAAGCCCCCTTTATTTTAATTTATTTTTATTTTTATTATCTGTTGTTATAGCGGTAATAGAAATACATATTCTGTGAAAATTTCAACCGTCTACCTATTTACGGATCATGAGATACAGAGCCCTGACAGACAGATGGACAACGGAGGTTTAGTAAGTTTGTTTGCAGGTGTGAATATCTAGAATTGCTGATTCGATTGAATATGAAAGTTTTCTAAATTTGGTTATTAGTAATAAACGATGAAATAGATAGAGATATCTTCCGTCACGACCCCTTCTGACGTAGTATAGATGGCCTTGGCGGCTATAAGAAAGCCAGATGGTATAATATCCATCTCCCTCGCACTTTTTCTTATCTTGCCGTGATAGAAATATTATTTTGTTTTAAATGACTAGTAATTTATTTATCTGTATTTGTAAATCTATATTATAATACGTTTATCAATAATATTTTAGAAGCATTAGTAGCTTCTACACAAGCATTTTAAGCTTAACAGAAGCGGCTTAAGGGAATATTAGTAATGCTTAATAGCATTACTAGTATTTAAAAAAATACTACGAAAGGAACTTCGTCCCAAATCTTACATTTTTTCTCGCCTAGCCCCTATCCGCCAAATTCGTACCGTCCGATAAAAAACTTCGTTCCAAAATAGATACAGATGTCGTAGCTTTGATAATCAAAAAGTGCTTTGTAAAAGCCAAGTTTGAATGAAAATATTTTCGTTTGAGTAAGCGCGTTTACGTGGTATAGCCATGCTGCAGCTATATTAATAGCATAGTTGTAGCACGGATGGGACGACCGGGGAAGGACCACACTCTCACAGAATACCTGTGTAAAGCAGCTTAATGCTTCTGTGTTTTGTGTGGTGAATGTAGAGAACCGGAGACATTTTTACTGGAAATGAGGCATTTCATCTTAGTACTCAGGGAATGACAACGCATCTACATTTATTATAATGTGGACTGTGTGCTCGCTTGTCGTTCCAATACCATAAAAAAGCGCAAGCAAGTGAATTATACAACCATTTTTGTAGTTTACTTACATCCATACAGATCTTTTTTATTTAAGTCGAATTTTTCAAATAAAACAAAAGCGTATAACTTCGTCAAACTAAATTAGTTAAAGTATATGATTTCATATAATATGTGACAGATATACGGCACTGTATAATGCCTTATATTTTCTGGTGATAAAAATTTAGTGGTGTATATTATGTTAAGGTTAAGGAATAAATTTCACAGGTAGGAGAATTATTCTACGCGTCACACGACTCCCTCAGCACACTTATGGAAGTGTCGTGTCAGGAGTTAGACCAGCTTGTGGACATCATGAGGCCATTGCCCGGCGTGCTGGGAGCTCGGATGACTGGTGGTGGATTTGGTGGCTGCGTGGTTGCGCTGGTATGTATAGGCTTACGATTTCTGTAGTATAGGGACGCAAATACTTGTTCCGTGCGGGATTCAACCCGCGGCCCTTCAGCTGCAACTCATTGCTAAGACACTGCGCCATGGAGTCAAACGGGCCAATATAAGGGACTATTTGTATAACTTTACATGTGATAGAGCTACGGTACAAATATTTTAAGTAGCACGAATAGGTCGGCTCGACCGGGATAGGACCACGCTCTCACAGAATGACAGCGTAAAATTACAGCTTAATTCTGCTGTGTTTCGTATGGTGAGTGTAGAGAACCGGATACCCTTTTTACTGGAAACGAGGTATTTCATCTTAGTCCTCAGGAGTGAAAAAGCATCGGCATTTTGATACCTAAACGAAGCTAAATGTACATGTCTATGGGACACAGCATCCATTTAGCACAAGGTGGAATCTGTGCGCGTTTGTCATTCGTTTTCTATAGAAAAGTTTACGAGCTCTCTCGATTTAATAAAGTATACTTCTATATCTGCCAAGACTTATGTTATTAATCAAATACTTTAACTGAGAATCTATTAATTTTCTTTATTGACACCAATACAAAGGTCTTTCTCATAAACATGACAATAATAATATATCATAACAATTCATGGTACATTACAAAGAATGTTAGGCGAACTGTTATCATCAATGAAGCATAAACAGCAATGTACTTAAAACTATCACGCTATACAATTTTCACGCTTAGAAAATAAGCCCGTTTGTAAAGTCATCCCTGTTTTGTTGTCAGGTGAACAGGGAACAGGTGGATGATGTAAAAAGAAAAATCCTATCAGAATACAACGGCAATCCCGTGTTCTTCGTGTGCCAGCCGAGCGATGGAGCGCGCGTTTTACAGTTAAATTAAATATTAGTTAATAAAACTTGTTTTTGTTTATATTTGTTTTATTCATCCTTAATGGGATATAAGGTAAGCCTCTACTGGATCGGCTTTGCAATGAATTGTTTGTAACTTCAAACTTTCCCATGGAATGAAACTGCGTTCACCGTACCAAGCGTCGCGTTGGCATTTCGAACAATGACGTCACTAGTTACTTGTTCTTATAATTGGATATCTTCCTTGAAGGTAGGGGATTTTCATTAAGAGCGCTCAAACTTTGAAATGAAATAAAACAACCTGTGTAAGTAATATGGCCACAATTTTTATTGTACATTAAAGGACATTCCCAATCAACGCATACACAACGCTGTCTGTTGTCGTTAGGTTTTAGTTCTTGAGTTAATTGATCTTTGTATTGATGAAAATTAAAGTTTTGACGCAAAATCTGCTAAGTTGATGTCGCAGAAAGATCCAGCTTTTGCGCACGACGAGAAATGAACTGCCTAGGGTTGTCTAGAATATTCTCGCAAAAATTTCATCGAACACCGATCCGGTTGTCTCAAATTTATTCATAAACGACGGATTGTGGACTCTGCAAGACGGCCATGAATGCAATAAATTAAATGCAATTCACGAAACTTTAGGCGAACAGATCATTGATTTTGATAAAATTCTAACAATTTTAATGCGTTGTTGAAACGTGTAGCGATCCATGGTGAAATGATTTCAAGACTAAATAAGTATTTTTGTAAAATTTGACAGCTATTCGAGCGTCCCTACTGAAAAACCAAATAAAGTTAAAATAATTTTAAGAAATGATAGGTAGAAAATAATGAAGTAGTAATAAAGAATAAGATATTTAAACATCATCCCTCACTTCTACTTGTACTTTGGTCTTTAGCCTTACTTCCAGATGGATTAAAGCGGACATGAGAGGCTCAGGTGCATCTTTGCAAGAACACACAAGTCTTGCGGGGGCAAGAACGGGTTGTGTCTAAACCCCATGGTATTCCATCATCGTCGTATTGTGGAAAGGTCACAAGAATGCTTTCCATACATCCACAGCTCCACCAGAGTCGGCCACCGCAAGGTGGCTTTCTTAGGTAGCTCAGACCTGGCCTATATATATAGTAGGAAGAGTCGAGCACACACATTTTACTATGTGATAAGACTTCTTTTCTACCGACTTCAAAAAGGAGGAGGTACTAAATTCGACTGTTTTTTTATGTGTGGTTACATCATAACTTTTTTTGGGTGAACCGATTTCGTCGATTCTTTTTTTATGTGATAGCTGGTGCGTCTCATGTGGTCTCATATAAATTTGAACAAGGTCTGATCAATAGATTTTGAGTTATTCTTAATAATTTAAATTGAAGTCGGTTGTACAACATTTTTAATTTTAAATTATTAACTAAGGATTCGTCTGGGTAAGTGCATCACTCTTACCTATGTCTGTTGCCAAATAGCAGTGCCTGCACTACTGTTTTCCGCTCTGAAGGATAGAGAGCCAGTACAGGTTCTGAGCCATTCCGTTTTAGTTCTCAGTGGTGACGACGCATTCGTAGCCTTATTAGATAATAATTTAAAATTAAAAATTTTGTACAACTGACTTCAATATAACTCATTAAGAATAACTCACAAGCTATTGGTCAAACCTTTATAAAGTACATGGGACACACGTGAAGCACCAGCTTTCCAATAAAAAAAATAAGCATCGAAATCGGTCCTCCCAGTAATAACTTATGAGGTTTTTTTTTATAGGATCGGGTGACAAACGAGCACACAGTCCACCTGATGGTAAGTGGTTGCTGTGGCCCATAGACATCTACATTTATCCTCGTTTGCGAATCAAAATGCAGATGCGTTGTCACCCGAGAGGACTAAGATGGAATGCCTCTTTTCCAGTAAAAAGGGTCTCCGGTTCTCTACACTCACCATACGAAACATAGCAGTATTAAACTGCTATTTTACGCTGGTATTCTGTGAGAGCGTGGTCCTTCCCCGGTCGAGCCGACCCATTCGTGCTACAACTACACTACTAATATAGCTGCAGCATGGCTCTACCACGTTAAAAAAACAGAAAAAAAGTAACAGACATAAACAAAAAAAACATACAGTCGAATTGAGTACCGTCTTCTTTTTGAAGTCTGTAGAAAATACAGTGGTCAATGGACAGCCTGTAAAGGACTGCAGTAGCAACTTACCATCAGGTGCACCAAGTGCACTTCGTTAGGCATTTCAGTGTTATAAAAAAACTACATTTCACCTAATGTACACACTATAAACACCCACATCTATTCTCGATTATATTTAACATTTTCGATGAACACATCTGCACCAATGTACAGATGCAATGTAACCACTAAAGACTAGATTTGATGCCTCGTTACCAGCAAAAAAGGGTTTCAGTTTCTCATCCCTTATTCCATACAATGCTGGTTTGGTCGTTGGAAGAGTGCATCTTCCATCGGATGAATGGTTCACCCAGAGGAGCGTCCAAAGTAGTAGTGGTATAGAGGTCTGAAACTATAAGAATGTAATTAAGTCCTTGGTTGTTTTTAAGTCGTTCACGTCAGTTTGGTGTTGTAATAGCGCTTTCATACTGGTATTTAGCGGATCCATTTGCGCTGCAGTCAAATTACGGCTGCGCAAAAAATCTTCAATAAATTGTCTAGTGGAATAATTACATTGAAAATAGTAAATGAAACTAATATCCCACTAAGCTGTGTAATTATTAGTTTTTTTTTTTATAGAATAAGGGTAACAAACGAGCACATAGTCCACCAGATTGTAAGTGGTTGCTGTGGCCCACAGACATCTACAGTTATCGTCGATAAAGAATCAAAATCAGATGCGTTGTCAACCCTGAGGAGTAAGATGGAATGCCTCATTTCCAGTAAAAAGAGTCTCCGGTTCTCTACACTCACCACAAGAAACACAGCAGCATCAAGCTGCTATTTTACGTTGGCATTCTGTAAGAGCGAGGTCCTGCCCCGGTCGTGTCGACCTATTCATACATAGTGAGATATAGTTACCTCTTATTACTGAAAAGGTAATGAAGCGAGGGAGGTTCGCCGTGCTAGTTCAGTGCGAATGAACAGACTTCATATGTCCTGTAAATATTAGGAATTTTTCAGATACGAAGATTTCTTCTTGTTCTCTCTATTGATTAATTTAGTGAAATATCATCAAATCGTGCACTGTACTTCAAGGAGTTTTCAGGCCACGGGACATATACTGTCACCGTTCTGTAGATATGATTGTTGCTTTGCTCTATTGTTCGACTCATCGATACAATTGCCTCAATTATGATGTGATTAGGCTCAGACTGTTGTCCGTAGAACACGGTATGTATTCAGTAGGTACAGTGCGATACGAGAAGTAGTTTAAAGTCTTAATATTTTATAATTAGAATTAATAAATATTCTTAAAATTTGAAAACTCCATTTAAAAGTCAATCTAGCTTTTTTCAGATTTGAACTGGTTTGAAGTTTGCCCCTTCGAATAATCCGCTATAGGATTGACGTGCAAAATGGACTCGCGCTAAATTTATTATGTGGTCATTATATTACAATCATAATATTTTCTCAACCTAGTACACGTGGTTATAGTGAAATACAAATGTTGTATATCACTTTTTAATAATAATTAGTGGCGCGAGTTGGGCGCCACTGTATTTTGATCTTCCTCAGGTTGTGGTATGTGCTTATAATAAATAAAATAATTTATGGTTTGCGGCATAGTTATCTTTTTACATAATGAACTAGCTGGTACCAGCCAGCGCGTTTCTACCGCAGAAGAAAGAATTGTTTTTTGTTATAATTCTTATATATAACAATTATAATAATTGTTAATTTTTTTTATATAGGATAAGGGTGACGAACGCGCACAAAGTCCACCTGATGGTAAGTGGTTGCTGTGGTCCATAGACATCTACATATATCTTCGTTAGCGAAGCAAAATGCTTTGTCAACCGTGAGGACTAAGATGGAATTTCCAGTAAAATGGGTCTCCGGTTCTCTACACTCAGCATACGAAACGCAGCAGCATTAAGCTGCTATTTTACGCTGGTATTCTGTGAGAGCGTGGTCTTTCCCCGGTCGAGCTGACCCATTCGTGTTACAACTATACTATTAATATAGCTGCAGCATGGCTCTACCACGTATAGATATCGTTTGAAGTTGGTAAGAGTGAAATTGAATGACATATGATATGCGTGCCACCAACTGTAAGTTAATTATACTATACCTATAACTTTTGCCCAAGTCTAAGCAAAAGAACCGGAGACCCATTTTGCTGGAAACGAGGTATTCCATCTTAGTCCTCACGGGTGGCAACGCATCTGCACTTTGATTCCCAAACGAGGATAAATGTAGATGTCTATGGGCCACAGCAACCACTTACCATCAGGTAGACTGTGTGCTCGTTTGTCACCCTATTCTATAAAAAAATGTGTTCAGAACAAATGAACAAAAATTAGAAATAAACACAAATAATAGACCAGTATGTAACTACCACTTTGTAAAGATTACATTTATGTTATTAGAAGAACATAGCAAAATTAGGGAAATAACTTTTTATTCAATTGAGAAGTATCAGTATCGCGCGAATTCCTGAATACGTAGTAACGTAGTTAGTAAAATCAATGAAAAATGAAAACGAACGAACGACGAGTGTGAGGAAGACGTACCATATTATGTGTGATAACTAATAACATTTACACACCGCGCCTTTCGTCACATTCATATAACTATGTACGTGAAATAATCATAAATTTTTTTTTACAGAATAAGGATGACAAGCGAGCACATAGCTCACCTGATGGTAAGTGGATACTGTGGCCCATAGAAATATCTACATCTATCCTCGATTAAGAATCAAAATACAGAATGCGTTGTCATCACTGAGGACTAAGATGTAATGCCTCGTAACAATTACTATATGAAACACATCAGTATTGAGCTGTTATTTTATGCTGGTATTCTGTGAGAGTGTCGTCATTTCGCGATCGACTCGACTCATTTGTG